CAAACTGCTAATATCATAAAATAGATCTTTTTAAACCCTACAACTTTTGTATTTAACATTTTTTTATACAACGCTTTGTTTTCGAGATATTCAGGTGTTCCGGTATATAATATTCACCCTGTATATAAGGCCGCACTTATTGTGCCATATAAACAGTTCTGTTCGTATTGAACACGTTTACATTATGTAGGCCATGTTAGGATCGTATGGATTCTAACACTTGAGAATTCGTATGGGATTGTCAAGTCACATTTTTGTATGTTCCATTGAAACCTACCCGCTCGATTTTTATCGAGTATCTGACTATTTTCTTGTCCCAAAGCCCTGGGCACTTCTCCCGCTTGTACTAATGTCGTAACAATCGAAGTGAGGTTATTCAGTTGCTCTTGCATCTTTTGAAGTTTCTCGTCAGTCCCATTACTCTTCCTCTTCCTATCCCTTGACTCTGACCTTGAATGCTTTCTTTTCTTTGCCTTCGACCTCTCCGAATAAAACCTACTTTTATCAATTTTTATTGATATTTAAGGACTAGCTACACAAGAACGTCCGCGCGATGTACTAAGCACAACGAAACAATATGATCGTAGATGGCGTAGAGAAGCGAGGGCCCTACAGAGAGGTCGCTAGGAGAGCCATCTCTTTTCTACACGCTGAACGTTGTGAAGTACCGAGAGAACAGAGACAACTACACTTGTTATACTATCATCGAGAGCGAGACACGTAGTATAATAGAAATTGCGCTATTGAATGTTATATATCACGCGAGGAATATATGTCAATTTACATAAAATACATCATAATGCGATTTCATAATGCACTTCTTGACGAGACTTCCTGTATTCGGCGCAAAAGATCAAATCTTTTTTTTCATTTCTGACGATGTAAACTTCGCCAACATGGCATTTATTGCATTGCTGTTTTGTATTTATATCGAAAAAATATTCCAGTATACAATCACTGAAAGTTCTTCGTTAACCGAACTAGGTCAGTTTTACACAACCTGTGTAACAAAACTATTAATTAATTTAATATGTCAATTTTTTAATTTATTTACAACAGCTTTCACGTCTCTTCGAGTCTTCGATTTAGAAGGATGAAGCTTCTAAGCCAATGAGTGTACATGCGAGGATCTTACTGTAATGTGTCGGTTAAAGATAAATGTTTCTTCTATTATAATTCTTTCACAATAATTAACTATAGATAATCTCTGTTTTTTTTTTTTTTTGAAGAAATTACCCAGACAACATAATGTCTAAAATCGGGACATAAGACGTCTTAAAGATCATCTTTAAGATGTCTTTCAGACGATTTACGTATAAATATCTTTAAGGCGCTAAAAATTATCTTTAAGACGTCTTATGTCCCGAATTTAGACATTATGTTGTCTGGGTAGTATGAACAATTGTATATACAGGAAAGTCGCCGAGCTTATATGAGATTCTCTGTTTACAGATGTACAGCTGTAAATAGGCGTATTGTGAAAGAATTATAATAGAAGAAACATTTACCCAATAAACATTTATCTTTAACCGACACATTACACAGTAAAATCCTCGCATGTACACTCATTGGCTTAGAAGCTTTATCCTTCTAAATCGAAGAGACGTGAAGACCGTTGTAAAAAAATTACAAAATTATAAAATTACATTAAATTAATTAGTCACAATTTTCCATTTGTATTGGATACATCGATAACTCTACCAGTTCGATAGTCTATGATAACTTAACAGTCACAGAATATTATTGAAGACAGTACGAAATCACATATGAACCTGTCATAATATTTCTATTTCCTTATCAATTAATTAATGGCATAATGCGCCACATACAAAAAAAGAATAAGGAAATATTATCATTATTTATATTATTAATTAGGATTACGATATTATTATTTACTTATTTATTTATTTATTTATTATCATATTGAATATATTGACATATTCTTAACACATACTGCTTTTTTCCTATTTTCCTTTCTTTCATACCTAATTGTAATTTAAATTTGATAGTAATTAAGAATATTAAATTGAAGCCTAATAACAAATTAAGAATATTAAATATAGTAATATCAAAATAAAAGCCGGCGGAATTATTAATTATTTGATAAATTTTTGAATCTTTAATATTTACACAGGTATTTAATGAACAATTAAATACCTAATAAAGATTTGCGTTTTGGTTGTAATATTGAATTTTGATAAGAAGTTTAGTGAAAGTAACGTCACATTATTCAAAATGTTTTAACAAACTTTTACTATCGCAATGATTAAAGCACAATCGCAAAAGGACAGGTTTCGAATCCGAAAACGAGGTTGATCGTCACAATTATTTATATATTTTCCTCGAAGAAACAGATATTCAGTGATACATCCATTGACACGAAATATTATTGAACAAACGTTATTTAAATCAAGAAGTATCAAAGATTTAGTCCTAGGATTACACGCGCTGGTTCGACTATTGACGATCTTTCAGCGAACAACACTTCTCCTTAATTGGACATTGAAATTCACAATTTTTTAATATAAATATAAACTTGTAACGGCCTTACGTTACGTGCGGGATAGTCTTAGCCGGTGTGGTCCGGGTTTCGTGTGTGAAATGAAAACCAGTGGTATAGGTGATAATAATTTGGAACTATATTCTAATCTCAAAGCTATTTACAATTATTTACAGGCGACGTTACGCCGTTGGTGCGTGGTCGCGTTTTTGCTCTCGTCGGGAGCCGTTGTTGTCGTCTCGCGATCAGCTGCGAGCGTCGAGGCGCGCGAGCGGCCGGCGGGACGCGGTCGGAATTGTTTCCGGATACACTATTGTTCGTCGTTCGGATTTCGTTGCCTCATCGGCTTTAATCTGTTTATTTATCCTGGTCTTTCCTTGCTGGTTTAAAGGCGCTCGTTGTCGCCGTTATCTTACGCCCTGTATGCGTTCGCG